TTGATTAGGGGATGGGGTGGGAGGGATGGGATGGCTGGGTGATAGACACTGGGGAGGGTATGTGCTCTGGTGAGTGCTGTGAATTGTGCAAGACTGTTGAATCTCAGATCTGTACCTCTGAAACAAATAATGCGATATATGTTAAAAAAAAAAGAAGAAGATAGCAGGAGGGGAAGAATGAAGGGGGGGAAATCGGAGGGGGAGATGAACCATGAGACACGATGGACTCTGAAAAACAAATTGAGGGTTCTAGAGGGGAGGGGGGTGGGAGGATGGGTTAGCCTGGTGATGGGTATTAAAGAGGGCACGTTCTGCATGGAGCACTGGGTGTTATGCACAAACAATGAATCATGGAACACTACATCTAAAACTAATGATGTAATGTATGGGGATTAACATAACATAATTAAAAAAAAAATCAATGGCATTTTTACTGTACTATATGGAGGGGGCTCCTGAATAAACTTTTCATGATAAGCATCCGGGGAACTTAAGTTCCCCTTATTAGCCTCTTTTTCTGTTCTTCTCAGTGGCCCATATCGTTTAAACCAACAAGCAGCAGCAGTTGAACTACACAAAAAGTTCCTGATAAACAACAGCTAAGGGAGGGAAGCAAATGGGCAAGATGTAGCTCTAGTAACATAAATCTCAATGCAAATCCAAAGCCTGCCATTCATGGCTTCAACAGCGCCCCCAAATGACACAGAAAGGCATTGGCCGGATCTCTTAAGTATATCTTTCACATGTTAATGTTACAAGAATGTAAAAAGGATTCCATTTCCTTCTTGATATATTCTCTCCCAATGTCTTCCAGGTCCAAAGATTTGGAGACTCTCCAAACAACACATAATAATGTGAGAGGAGGAAGGAAGTGAAGGAGGCGGGAGTCGTGAGGGGGGAAAGAGGTGAAGAGCAATTTGCATTTCTCTTGTGTTCCACCCTTGTTTAACAGGCTATAATCAATATCACTACTGATTTGGTTTCAGCTAAGTTGCAAGCACGCCTGGTGTCAGCACTAGGAAAGCTGGTCACAATATTATGTATGGGGTAGGAAGAGGGTGTCTCCATTTTTAGGCATCCCTTGGCTAGTGGCATCTGCATTCTGTTCTTGGTTGCCCAACGCAAATTGCCTCACTTCTCTGTGTAACATAGACCTCAGCAGTCAAGTGGGACCCAAAATCAGCGCCGCTGACCCTCTTAGACACCCTTCTAAGACAGCGCTACTCAAAGTACGGGCACGGGGCAGTAGCACATACGTCATCCTCAAGTTTGTTAGAAGTTCCGAATGACAGGCTCCACCCCAGGTTGACTGAATTAATCACCAACTTGGATGCACTTTGAGAAGCACTGCCCTAGAACCATGCTGCTGGTCTGCAACCTGCCTGTTCCCAGTCCACTGGTGGGTAAATACAGAATCTGGGTGGAAACATTTAAAACGTTCATAGACATCTGACATGATGGTCATATCCAAGGACATAAGCAATGGACTCATGTCCTTCAAAAGGAATGGACCAATGTGGGGTTTCAGCATTTGTGTGGGGACTTGGCATGAGGCACAATCTGCTCCCAGTCACGGGTTAGGGGAACCCCACATCATCATGATGGATTTAAAAAAAAAGTCCTTCATCACAGGGTCTGAAAAGTATGACTCTAGAGCAAAGGTCAGCAAACTTTTTCTATAAAGGACCACAGGGTCCGTAAAGCTTAATATCTTAAGCTCTGTAGGTCGTAAAGTCTCATTTACCTGTGATTATAAAGCAAGAGCAGTAAGAACGTGTAAGCAAGTGAGCATGGCTATGTTCCAATAAAACTTTATCTACCAAAACAAGTGGAGGGCCAGATTTGGTCCACAGGCTGTTCTGTGCCAATGCAAACTCCTACTTAAAGGATGACTGCCGGCCAAATATGATGCCATCAGAAGACTATAACCCTTACTCTTGAGAACTGAGATGAAACAAATCACCACAGTCCCCTAATTTTGTCAGTGATTTTCCCTACATACAGAGGCCACAAGAAATAGAAATTGTTCCTGCCCCTTTGCTCCTATCATAATGGGAAATCTATGAGGATAAAGCCAAACACATCTAGGGGCACCTGGGTGGCTCAGTCGGTTAAGCGTCTGCCTTTGGCTCAGGTCATGATCCCAGGGTCCTGGGATCAAGCCCTGCATCGGGCTCTCTGCTCAGCGGGAAGCCTGCTTCTCCCTCTCCCACTCCCCCTGCTTGTGCTCCCTCTCTCGTTGTGTCTCTCTCTGTGTCAAATAAATAAATAAAATCTTCAAGAAAAAAAAAAAGCCAAACACATCTGGACAACCTTCAACTACCACCCTAGCAATAATAAGAGGACTGAAAAGGAAATGTCCACATCAGAGAAAGAAAAGCTAAGTCTCCCTGCCTCTAGTTCAGGGTTCTACAAACTGTGGTCCATTGGTGAATGGCATCTGCCAAATCCAGCCTGCCACCTGTTTCTATAAAGTTTTATTGGAACGAAGTCATGTCCACACAATGACACATTGTCTATGGCTGTTTTTGAGGTATGGAGGTAGAGGGGAGCAGCAACCTTATGTCCCACAAAGCTTAAAATATTTACTATTTGGATCTTTACTGAAAAAAAAAAAATGTGGCCTCCACTATAGTTCCTCCCATGACTGGCAGCCCCTTATTCCAGTCCAGAAAGCTCCAAGCAAGTAGATAAGGGGACAGTTTTCCAAGTTGCCATTAATAGGACTCCTGCCAACTACTTTCTCTGGGAAAGTCGTCCTTTGCTAAACAAAGTGGCACAGTCAGAGAGGCCTCTTGCCGAGTTTCTCCCAAGTTTCTCAGTGGCTTTCAAGTTCCTTTTAAGTACGTTCTTTCACTATTAAAAATATATAGGCAGAGTTACTAATTCATGAAGCAGTCTATTAGTCATATAAAGGCCGCATTAACTTGGTGCCTTTTTACACTAAATTCATACGAAGAATATTAAAAGCCTTGACAAGCAGGAAAAAAAAAAAAAAAAACCTTAACAAGATAGTAACATCCTTGCATCTAGATCTCTGGAACATTCCCAGAGTGAGTGAACAGTTGCTAAACAAATGGGTTCCCTTATTTCCCAGAGAATTGGGGGCTGTTTTTGTCCAAGTTTCAAAGAATAGAAAGCATCATAAATACATGGAGCAAACTTCAACAAACAAAACCTTCCGGCCTTTGAATTCATTGTAACTAACACTCATAACCTGAAGGAAAGTAGGCTGCACTAGTTTGGGTAAAAGCAGAAATTCATAAAAAAAGCTCTGTGTAACACGGTGCTAACAAAACACAGTTGTTTTCACCGGTAGCCAGTTGGAAGGAAGCCAGGGCTGTGTCCGTTACCTAGTGGTCCGTGGCACCTTATAAATACTACGAGTGCCACCTTCTGGTCTTCTGATTCTATTGCATGCCCCTAGTCCTGTCTTGGCCTCATTTCCCCCAAGCTGGTGAATCATGTGTATCCTAGAATCACGGACTCCTCAAAAAAGAGATCTGCAGAGATCTCTACAGATCTTTACGGACTGTGGAGATCCTAGACCAAGCTGCTTTTGCGCTGGCCTTCAATACTGACGTTTGAGAGCCCCACATTGGGAAGACCAGAATCACTTCTTTTTTTTTTTTTAAGATTTTATTTATTTATTTGACAGAGAGGCACAGCGAGAGAGGGAACACAAGCAGGGGGAACGGGAGAGGGAGAAGCAGGCTTCCCGCCGAGCAGGGAGCCCGATGTAGGGCTCGATCCCAGGTCCCTGAGATCATGACCTCAGCCGAAGGCAGACGCTTAACAACTGAGCCACCCAGGCGCCCTGACCAGAATCACTTCTAACTCTACTTCTTGGTTCCAAAAGCTGGAGAATTCTGTGGGGCAGAGAGATAGGATTATACAGCTCAGCTTATGCCCACTTGTAGCTCTCACCATGTCCCAAAGATAGCCAGGCAAAGAAAGGGTAGTCACTGGAGAAGCTGAAGAAGATGAGAGGTACTTTACTATTCCCTGATAATGAGGGAAGGGACTCTCAGGTTTGAGACCAGGTTTCTTTAGGCAGGCTGTCATGCTCCTCATGAGAGTATTTTAGGGGTCAAAAATGGGTAGGAGAAGTAGTTGCTCTTCTGTTTTCTAACACTTGCTGCAGAGATGAGATTAAGTACATAAACAGAGGAAGCACCCAGAACCTGCTGCGAGAAGCCCACTTACATAACCCCAAGAAGAGAACCAGCCTTGCCCTTCAGAGACAGGAGCTCTCTGCTTTGCCTGCCTTCACCCCCGGTCACACTCTGGATACAGAACAGAGCAAGGCCTGGTCTTAAGGTTTCAAGGAAGAAGATCAGGAAAGGAAGGCTTACAGTGTGACAAGGAGGTAAGGCCCAGTGGGAAATACATCAGGGTCTGGCGGGGGGACAGGGCAGGGCGGGGGGCAGTGAAAGTTGTATAGCCCCCTCCTTGACAGAGATGAGGGTCTGGCCTGCCTGTGCTAAACTCTTTTGCTTCTGATTTGAAAAACATTTGGCTTCCTGAAAAGTAAAAGCTACTAGGGGCCTTTTCTTAATCCATCTTGCACATCCTCAGAATTGGCGTCAACAAGTCACAATGGGAGTTTCCACCAGTCGTCCCTGGGCGGAGTGATGATGGCAATGATACAGGGCCAACGTGGCCCAGAGCCCCCAAGGGGAGGGACAGGAAGGATGTTCAGAGGGATCCTCTGGGCTCCATCAGGAAGAGGGAGAAACACATCCCTCTAAAGAAAAAAGGCATTTGTCTCAAAGAAAAATGGTTGTATTGGGGGGAAATGTCATACTTAATGAAGCCAACCAATGGCAAAGGAAGCAAGCTGCCATCTCTCCGGAATATTAGAAAAATAATGTTTATGTTCAGGAGACGTTGTTATGATTTACAATTATAGCTGCCATTTGTTGAGGGACACTGTTTTTCTTTCATCACATAGGCATTTTTACCTGTTTTACAGATGATCAAACTGAGGTTCAACAAAATGCAGTTAACTTTTCCAAGGTCAACAGGGAGTAGGTAGAAACGAACCCAGTTCTGTCTCCAAGTCTGTGCTCTGTCCACTCTGCTCCCAGCTTCCACCCTTAGAGCTGTTGGTTTGTTCTCACAAAATAAAGCCTGCACATGAGCACTTTGTATGGAGATCATTTCTGAAACTGAAGCCTGGAAAGACAGATTTCCACATGGGGATCAGAGATTTGCAGAACCATCTCTACGGACAACTCGCTCCCAAACTCCCAGCTGAGGATCAGGGTGGCTGGGACTGCCTCTAACAGTTCTTCCTGCCGCAGGAACCATGGTAGCTGCCCAACTCTTGCCAAGTCAGCAGCCTGAAATGCACTGCCCATTCTCAGCCCCACACAGTCACTATCTCACTGTCATCTTTTCTGTCTCCTGTACTTTCAATTTGGACCCTTCCAGGGTGAGAAAAAGGGGCTACGATTTATAGCAAGTAGATGTTTTACACTGAGGCCTGATAGGGAGTTTCACCAGCCACAGCCTCCTACAGCAGAAGCCAGCCTTGGTTACTCAACGATCAAGAGAGATAAGGAACATCTCCACAATGACCAGAGAAGACACCAAAAACAGCACAAAGACCCAGACAGAGACTAGCTACCCTATACCGATTTCCATGGTCCTCCTTGCTAATATGCGCATGACTCCTTAAGGAGTGGGAAGGGAAAAGGCCAATCTTTAAGCAGAGAGAAATCTGAGAAATCTCCCAAGTTTGAATCCTGAATCAAATGTTTATCCCAAAGACATTGAGCTAATTTAACAGAGACTATTTAAAAACAGAAGAGACAACGTTACCAAGATACCAAGAACTGGCAAGTTTTAGATTTCTTTTTCCTACTCCCAAATGGAATATGGGATTGAGGAAAAGATGAGGTCACTTATGGAAAATAAAGAGTACTGGTTTTTGGGTTTTGTTTTTGTTTTTGTTTTTTTGCACATTTAAGTTATAATGTGTAAATGTTGTCCTGCATGTGCTTTTGTGTTTGTGTGTTTTATGTCAGATAGCCTGATTTTCTTTTTGACATACAAGGATTTCAGCAAGGCATTTTTATAGTCTCATGATATCTTTGTGGACAAGTTGAAGAAATATGGGCTGGATGATAAAACACTTATGTGAACTCTCAAGCTGCCTATATTTTGTTCCTTTTTGGACACCAAATTTTCAGGGAGACAGTGACAAAGTGGATTTTCCTGTAACAAAATGGCCAGAATGACGAAGAATCTGGTAATCCTGTCCTAGGGGGGATAGAATGTTTTATCTTAGAGAAATGAAGGCTCTGGGTGTAGGAGGGAAGGAGGTATGCATCTGTGATAGAGTGGAATGAGTGCTGTCTTGGAGGCAACCAAGATTCAAATCATGAATCTTCCTTACTACAAAATGCTTTGTGTCATCCACATGCACTCACCATGCTCTGTATTGTAACTCCATTTTTTGCAACAATATCTACAGGGCAGGGTGAGCAATGCAGCCTACTGGGAGAGAGCTAGAGCTAGAGAGAAATAGGGTAGCCATGGTAGGAAACCTAGGAAGAGAACCAGCAGCCCCAGGGAGGTGTTGATATTCACAAAGTATGCTCATATTCTATATAAGGCATTTCTGGAGCAGTTCCAGATGGAAGGCAACAGGGTTCTGTCACCAAGATGCAATGGGAATGTGGCTTTACCTTAATGGACAAGTGGGGTGGAGACAGTCGGAAGGCCAAATCTGGAGGAGGGCTAGATCCAAGAGAGATCCTTACAAGAGCTAATGGAGATGATTGCAAATAAGGCTGAACCCTGGATGTGGACCCGACAGGAACACGGCTGGAGATTAATCCCCTGCCAGCTTGGCTCTAAAGGAGGATTTCTCAAAGACCTTACTGAAGGAGCAAGATGTGCAGCGAGCCCAGAAAGAAGAGAGTGTGTCTGCCCCCGAGGGAGGTATAGAAAGCGCCCAGCTGCCCCCTTCTGGACCACAGATGACAGGACCTACTGGACCACAGACTTGCCTGGAATTCCACTTGAGGATGATCATTCCTTTCGCTTAAATATAAATGGTCCTTAAGTGTTTCTTATCACATTGTCAGCATCCTTGGGAGAAATAATATATTGAGCATTACAGTGCATTAATACCTTAATGAGGCTTGGTTCCCGAAGTCACACTCATTTTCAGTCGCAACAGCTAAGCAGGATCCAGACAGCAAGATCAGGAATCGACTTTGTTTAGTTCAGATGATTGTTTGGGAGAGCCAAACAAGGGCATGATGCCCCTCCAGGGGGCTAGAGGGCCTAGGCCGGCAGAGCAGGGAGGAGCCCTGCATATCTAGAAGCAAGGACAGACAGAGAATGAGGATGAGCCCAAGAAACAGGAGAAAGGTGGGGAGGAGACATCTGAGAGGCCCTGAGGCGAACCTCATCCACCTTGTAGTTCAGCTGAGGGCCAGACCCATCTATTCCTGCTTTATTTCACATCTCTTTGCCAACAGCTAAATAAACATGCACTGACTCAGTGCATTTCTTGATCATTAGAAAAGATTATTCTTAACAGAACAGCTAAAAGAAAACCATTTGTCCTTTCATAAAGCATGATGTCACTAAGATTAATCTGTTTTATCTGAAGTCCTTTGAACTAAAAATCAGACGTGGGCCTTTTGCAAAATGTGAAGAGCCAATCTCTCCTCACCTCTTTTCATACCCAGAACCTGGGCAAATAACTAGAAAATAAGAGGGACAGGGGGACACCCAGGAAGCCAAAATAAATGGTCCGAAGTCAGTGCATTAAACACAGGCATTTGAATTATGTGCCAGCCTTTTTGGTTCTTCTCATGTTAGAAAGTAAAACTAAGACAGAAACCCAAGAGTCTCCTAGAAGCAGGTACCCTGACAGTTCTAAGAAGTGACCGTTATCAGAAACAGAGAAATACCATAAACCTAAGAGAGCTTAACAGCTAGGGGTCGTGTACACAGAGGAAAAGGTCTCTAGTTGTCTCAAAATCCTTGAGGACATGGAATGTTCAAGTTCACGATTAAGGCGAAGTTACTGAGAAAAGACAAAATGGGATGAAATGATTCTAGAAATACTCACCTCTAGTTAAGCCTCACAACCTTTATTGTCTGCATCCTATACTGGGGTCCTTCTAGTAATTGAAAATATTTAATATCTTAAATGCATCCCTAGGCATGACGGAGTTAATAAAGATTAAACTGCCAGTGAATTAATTATTGGATTCATGAGAGGCAAGTCATCATTGGTAAGGTGCTGTGCTAGGAAAAAAAAAAAAAATGTGCAAAGGATTAGTATGTCACCCAAATTCAGACATGAATGAGACTCAAGCATCTCTCAACAAACACCAAGACAGAGAATTTGCTATAGAAATAATGTAACATTGGGGGTGCCTGGGTGGCTCAGTTGGTTTAGCAGCTGACTCTAGATTTTGGCTCAGGTCATGATCTCAGGGTCATGGGATCAAGCCCCAGGTCAGGCTCCACACTCAGTGGGGAGTCTGCTTCAGGATTTTCTCTCCCTCTGCCACTCCCCCGCTTTCTCTCCCTCTCTCTCTAATAAGTAAATAAATCTTAAAAAAAGAAAAAAGAAAAAGAAAGAACATAACACAAAAAAATTCCAGAGAGAACAGATGAGAGAATCACCAAGCTGACCTATCTGTGATGGTCCCTCACTTCTAAAGCCTAGAGGTGGGTGTGAGATCCTGGAGGCTCCTGACAGGATCAGGTGGTTGGGCAGGGGTCTCCTCATTCCAGTTTCCATGCTTAGATCTGATCCATACATAGGTACACTCCCACAGAGAGCAACCTACCATCTCTCCAACAAGAGCTCATTCCATGCCATCCAGTGGGTCTGCATCAAAAAGACACACCAGCTCATGGAGGTAAGAGGTTCTTAAGAGGTTCACTGGGATTCCTAGGACTGAGATGCGGAGGAGACAGAAGATAAAGTGCATTTCCTATTTGGTCCACTCCAGCCCCATGAACATTTTTAGAAAAGCCTACAAGTGAAGAATATTAAATATGATTAGCCTTACGCAACTCAGTATGGAAACTGGAAAATCTTATCAAGTACTGAGAACAGTAAGTTTTATTAACCCAGGTAGAGTTCTTACAAAATATTATTTCTTTTTCAATAAACTATTTAAGGGTGCCTGGGTGGCTCAGTCGTTAAGCATCTGCCTTCGGCTCAGGTCATGGTCCCAGGGTCCTGGGATCGAGCCCCGCATCGGGCTCCCTGCTCTGCAGGAAGCCTGCTTCTCCCTCTCCCACTCCCCCTGCTTGTGTTTCCTCTCTCGTTGTGTGCCTCTCTCTGGTCAAAAAATAAATAAAATCTTAAAAAAATAATAAACTATTTAAGAAGACAAGAAAATTACATGTTTTTAAATACGATAAATTTGGGTGGACATTTTTCGTTGCCTTTCCAGCTTCGGTTTTGCTTTCTCATGCTGTTGATTTTCATTTGAGAACTTCTCCCTTGCTTTCTTTCTATCCACTGGACTCTTGAGGGCTCCACTGTCCCCACAGGAAGTTAATGACCCAGCCTAAGTCATCCAGTGCATAGGATCTCCCTACATCACAGTCAAGGTTCAGAGGTGGGCTTGTGATCTAAATCTGTTCAATCAGAGAGAACCCCAGAAGCTTTACAGGATCCGCTGGAAAAGAGGCAGTGGGTAGGGAAGGTCTGAGGCTGGAAAACCTGGAGCCACGGGGCTGACCATGGAGGGAAAACAATATAGAGGAAGCAGAAGTGAGAGACGGAGAGAAACAGAGTCCTGGTGACACACCATTTGAGCTGCTTCATCAAACAGCCCTATATATACCTCTTACTTGTGACAGCCATTAAATTCCCCTCTTGCTAAGTCCATCTATGTTGGTTTTCTGTTAATAACTACTAAAATCACTGGCTGTAATGATTTCAGATAAATGAGATGCGACTCTGTGGAAATGAGTATTTATAGAGCCAATAATTGTGCATCAGTTAATACTTTTCACTTGTCTCTCAAAATCATATTTTCCTCTTAAGCTAAACCTCAGGAATTATTAATTGTTCCCAATGATAGGACTCCCAGTTTTTGCAGCTGTAATCTAAAGCACATTGGAATATTTCCTCTTGCCTTCCTAAAAAAACCCCCAAAATCAGGATTTTTTCACTGAACTTTCCTTAATTTTTTTCTCACTAGAATTACCCTTCATTTTCTCTCAAAATTTTCTTAACTTTTTTTCCAGTGAAATCTACTATGAAACATTTCCTCTGAAATTGCAACGACTTTCTCTGAAAATTGCAACAACTGAAAAGAGTGGGTTTTAAATGGTGAATAATTCATTAATTATTCTTAGGGCTCATTCTCAAAAACAATTATTACATTTGGCCTACATAACATGAAATAGTGTATAAAATATATGGAAATTATTTAAAAAGGGAGGAGGGCCCCAATCCAAAACAAGCAAAGAAGGGAAAAAAAAAAAAAAACCGCCTGTGAGTAAAACAAACATATTTCACACACGTCTTCACCCACCCGGTATGAGTCTAGTGCAAAGGGTGAGTCAGCTTCACACCCAAGCCACCCCACATCAACCTCAGAGCCAGTCCCGGGACTGGTTGGCAAGGTCAGCCTAACTCCCCTTGGCTCAGCTCAGGCTGGCTCCTTCTACACAGCAATGCTCCTGCTCTCAGGCCCCAACAGGGGAAAAAGCCTTCTTTTTGAATGGGCATAAAGTGCCTTATTGAAACCAGGCAAGTTTCCTCCTTGTGGGGCTGACCTCGCTACTCTGCCCACATTCCCCCCCAAGGTGCAGACAGTGGCTGGAGCTGAGGAAATGCCTTTCTGCAGTTTGGTGCAAATGAAATTTGAGAAATTTGCACAGTATGTGTGGAACCCATTGTTCATATCTAAGCTTATTAGCTGTTTTCCTCCTGAGAGCACAAAAGAGCTCCTGAGAGTGAAAAGGAATCCCGTAGGAGGAGGGGAAGCCTGAGGGGCCTCCCAGAGGACCCTTCCCTGCAGGCCTTATTCATTACAAAAGACTTCAGCAGAGGCCTATCGAAAGGAGGTCACAGGTATTTACCTTTCTTCTCCGTCTGTTTCAATCTGTTTTACGGAGGAGAGAAAAATGCCAATGCTCTCCTCATCCTTGAGCCCTCGATAAACTCATTCTGCACATTTTTGTATAGAAGAGTAGACTTTTTAAACAACAAAAGAAAATGTCATTGGAACAGACTTAAGCTTTATTCAGAAACTGATTTCTTACCTTAGCCTCACTGGATTACAACCCTCTCCCACCCCAGTCCTGTCATTTCTTACAAGTGAGGCTTTGTCAGAACCAAAGAGCATCAGCCTTTACGGCCTAACACATCCTTACCTATCACCCACCCTTAATAACACTGCAACAGGGCTCACATAGAGACCTGTGCAGGGGATGGGACCAAAACAGAGCCATAGTTTACAAATGCACTTATGTGACGAGGAAGCTAATGTATGTGAAGTAAGGTAGAAATAATCCAAAAGAGCGGATGTTCCAAAACCTACCAGTATTTGTCCTTGTGTATATGGTTAAATACGTCTGGTAATTAACCTCAGTTAATGTATATGTGATCATTCGGTAAATATTAATTAAATGCATTCTTTGGGCCAGGCGCTGTGCTAGGAGCTAACTACACACACAAAAAATGACAAAGAAATATCTGCCTTCAAAGGTTTCTCCTTCTGGTAAAGAAAACAAGACAACCATGTTCTAGAGAGTAGAAGCAAACAGTGTGGGATATTCAGGAAAATGAACATACTCAGGTCCAAGTGTTAACAGGATGGGTCACGTGGCTAACTGCCAAGTAGCTTCTCAGGATGGCCCCACCTTGGTAAACTTCCCAGAAAAAGGCCTGCTGTGTTCCCCGAAAGCTCAGGTACCTGATGCTGTCAGCGCACTGACCGTGAATCTGTCACTGGGACATTAACTTATATTAACTGAGCTTAACCAGGAATTCTAATTCTAATGCACAAGTTCACAATGAAACGTGCTTCGTCTTGAGCATTAGCGCTTGAGGTGGTGAACAGCCAGCTCACGCTGCTTCACAAGACAGCTCTACTCACACATTCTCCACCTCGGTTATGTTATGCTCTGGGGAATGTTTAGATGAGCACAGAGTCCAAGCTAGAGAAATCATGTGCATGGAACACATGTTGGATGACTTCAGGCTATGGCAGGTGGGGAGCCCATCTCCACACTGGTGAGACATGCTGAGGATCCCTGGACGGTTAAAAGAATAGTCACCCTCCCCACAACCAAGGCAAGGGCATGCTTTTCCTGCTGACCAACCTACTGCCTTACCAACTCTTTGTAAAGCTTAAATACATGTAACTTTTATGTATGTACATATTTCTCTGACTGCAGATAAATTAAGAGAAAAATTAAAATTACCTGTGATCTCCTAGATTTGGGGATGTTTCCCATGCCCCCCCATAATCTTTATAACATTTGCACAGATAGATGATAGATATATGTATACATTTGCAGACATATATACATCTACATATATTTACATGTATCCCATGATAAGCTAAGGGATCTGGAGTGTTTCATGTCAGCACCATGTCACACCCAAAGACATTTCGGTTCAGCATCTAAAATAATTGACAAGTGGGGCACCTGGGTGGCTCAGTCATTAAGTGACTGCCTTCGGCTCAGGTCAGGATCCCACGGTCCTGGGATCGAGCCCCGCATCGGGCTCCCTGCTCAGCGGGAAGCCTGCTTCTCCCTCTCCCACTCCCCCTGCCTGTGTTCCTGCTCTCGCTGTGTCTGTCTCTGTCAAATAAATAAATAAAATCTTCTAAAAAAAAATAAAATAAAATAAAATAAAATAATTGACAAGTAACTTAAATATTTCCAGTAGTCTTCTGCAAAAAAAAAAAAAAAAAAAAAAAGACAAAGCAGGAATATATTTAGCAGAAATTCATAAAAACCCTTTTACCTCATTTGACTGATTCCCTCAGTGTCTCACCCTACAATTCTCTCCCAGCACCCCAAAAATTTACCCCCTTCAAAATGCACTTGGTCTTTTCAAACCAACAGGCTTTCTTGCTTGCTCTGTCTTCTTGGTCCTTTGGCAGTATAAATCTGGCTATCCACCCCATCAGCATCAGCACCATTCAGAATCTACTTTCCCTACTAATCTGTAAGCAGAGTGAGGGAAGTGAACATGTGTTT